CTCACTGGCCAACATCACTTCACTCCCATCGTCCACCATGGTACCAGCCTGCATGACATCCATGCTTTCATCTCTTCCTTCCACCCAGACATTTTCTGTTTACGACGGTCAGTTCTCAGCTCATAACCCAGTCCAGACTTCTACTGGAGTTGATTTATCCCAGTCCAATTCAACACTGCCAAAGGGGGCAGCAGCTGCAGGTTATTGGGCTCAGAGTGAGGAGCAGATGGACCTGTCATGACACTGGCCTGACACTCACTGTCAAGTAAACCCTTGGGCAATGATCTGATGTCTTGTTGGGGTACAGATAGAGCCAAGTGGGTGAAAGGGGGGGGTGGGGGGGGGGGGGGGGTCGGGGACGTCATTAGGTGCTTGGTTCAAAATGACCCTATTGAAGTGTTTTAATCAAAGCCATAACTTCAAGCAACAATTTCAGTACTGGTAGTGTTTTGTTCATTATTGTTACTTTTAGCCTCATGCTGAGTATCTGAGCACAATGAAGATTGGTTTGATAGAGTTATTGTGCTTAGTTTTTAAATGTCTCTTTTTATTTATTGATGAATTAGAAGTAAAGCAAATCACATTGGATTAGACATTTATCATATCATATTGTTTGAATTTTCTTCATTCAATTTGAAGACACATGCAGAACTTTCCAATTGAACCGTTACTGAGAACCAGTGTAAGAAAACATCCAATAAAAAGATTTTTTCTTGTTTTTTCAGCCTTGGTCAGAGAGTGCAATTATGTATTTTTATGATTTTGTACTAAAATTAAGGATTCATATATTTTTTGGAGTATTAAGCACAGATGACTTGGGTCAAAGCAATTAAAATATGCAGGGAACATTAAATTAACCTCTTGCTAGTACAAAGGGGTGACATCTAACAGAACTGGTACAAGATTATTTTGTTGACAGCTGGCTGTGATAGATGCATACAAAAATTGTTCATTAGCATGGTGCTGGAGAAAGTTTGAATGTTTGATTAAAATGATGTGTTGTTTTTTTTAAATGAATATAGAATAAAGTTGGTTTTAGGAATGAATTTTAGTACCGGTAGTTAAGTACTTGGACAATATCTAAATAAGGACTGTACATTAATGAGGGGAAAATTTGTCCATAAACTGGTTGTCTCTATGTTGACATGACAAAATGTTTGCTCAACCATCTGTGATATATGGTCCTGTGTACAATGTTAACATGGGAGGTCTCAGTCAATGACTTTCAATTTGTTTAATGAAGAGGAAAGTTTACCCACAGTAGCTTCTCTGCCCCACATCACACTGTCCTATACAAGATGTGTAGGCCTACCTGGTTTATACAAATAGATTTTACAAAAATGTGACCCAAAATGACAACAAGAATTGACATGCATGCATGTACCAGAGATGGTCATCAGGTCGTTTTGCACAGCGTCACTCACTGAAACTAACTTTTTGCCTATCAGATTTTTTTAATTTTCAAAATGGAACAAAAAAAACTGACCTTGTTAGGAACAGAACCTACTATTTGATGTCACACGGTCAAATGTCTGACAATGAAATATTGTCAAAGTAGACTAAATGAGCCAGGAAAAATATGAAGTGAGAGAATCTGAATTGGTTGATTGATATAAAATAATTTCCTTTTGTTCCAAACCAGGTGTGTCCGTCAATTCCTTCCCTGCCTTAGGTCAACTTTACCACCTGTTAACTGCATGTGAACAACAGGAGCTGGTACTCCTGTGTCACACTGTCGGATTTGTTGTTTTTTTTTTTTTTAAAGAAAAAAAATCAGCCTTGTCATGGCGGCAACTGTCATCTTGTTACAAAAAGTGTTTCTCCTGTTCATCATATCATGTTCACATATTTGGACAGGGGGGTTCCCCCTCCTTTATAAGTTATTAGTTGACATATCAATTAATCTATATACCTACATTCATGATTAGGATGTATTGATAGTATTCTAAATGTCATGTTGATTATCATTCAACTTAAAGGTGCATAGCTCAAATAGGAACAAATTTGTACTTTCTTATATTATATAAATATTCTTTAAAATGATCTATAAGTTTTTAAAATAACGCTACTAAAGAAGATACCTTGTATTGTTTTTTTTGTCAGTATTGGACAGTTATATTGGAGAATGACAGTCAAGGACAGTTGTGTCAGCCTTATTTAATCAAATCCTCAAACCCATCAAACACAAATTTAAAAATGTCAACTTTCTTTATAAAATAAAATGATCAAATGATTACATGTCCATATTATTCATCTAGCAAAAATTGTAATGTTATATATATATATATATATTGAAATGTTTCTGTGTTGTTTTACACAAAAAAGCAATAACTTGTTTGTGAATGTCTACTTTTAATACTAAAAAGAACCTTTCAAAACTTAACACCATGTTTAAAGTGTATCTTGAATGTTTGCCATCTCAAAAAGCCATAACCAATGTGTTGATTTGCTAAGACAGTCAAATTTACACAGGGTTGTTCATGTTGGTGTCACTTTTGACATGATGTATTCATTTTATCTTTAACATATTCATATTTATGTTGTTCATTGGTTTTGCTTTTTATTTTTTTTCCAATGTATTTTTGTTATATTTTTATTTACTGTAAAACTGTTATTTGTAAAGTAGGAAAGAGATTATATACATATATAAATATACTATAGTTTATATATATGTATATAATATATCTTGATCAATTGTATATAACCATTTAATAAAAATGTGTAATTCTGTTGCTCTTGCAAGAACATATTAGGTCTCTATAGAGTATTGTATCACAAGCACAAACAGTGGGACCTCAACAACAAAATAATGGGTTGTCAGCCAATGTCCTTGTAAACCTATCATTGCTATCATCATAATCAGGAGTATAAAAAAATGTGCACTACATCATTAATAAACACATTTGCTTATGTTTGTCTGCATCACTTAATAAATGCCCTATGTTGGGAGAATGTTTACTTTCCAAAAAGTCCCAGAGCCAAAGTGTGAACCTTTTCTATTGACTTGTAACTTGTGAACATTGGCTATAGGTGGGCCATTTTCATTTAAATGTTATTCAAAATTTGCAGTTATTCAACTCTCACCAGATTCAAAAAGGGGGGAAATAATTTAAATTGTACATAATTGTAGATGGATAGAATTCTTTTGTTATTGATATTAACACCTTAGTCTGAAATTGTTGAGTTCCTCTGAGGAAACTAAAAAGAATGAAATCATGATGATGAAAAGTGTCTAAATAAGGCTGAATAATAAAGATGTGTTAAATGTATAAATATTTTAAACATCCTTTGTTTTGTATTTTCATTAATATTGTGATGAACTAATAAAAACTGATGTGAAGCCTACAATTAGGCTTAATTATAGGAAATACACGATTAAGTCTGATTTAAGTAATAAGAATGTCCAACTTACTTTTATCTATATCTAACTATATTAAAAGGACAGCTACTTTAGGAATAGTTTGGCTTAACTATCATAAACACATAAATACATATCTTTTGGGATACTTAAATAATCATTAAAATTCTATTACGCACCTTGAAAGTAAAGGTATTAAGAAAAAAAGTGTAATATTATTAAAAGATTAGAGTAAATGGATTACATTACAAAAAGGTTCCATTTTACCCGCAAAGGCAGAATACTTGGTGAACAGCCTTTAAAAAAAGTGTTCTATAGACTTGTATCAAAATCTTATGACACCCTCATGAAAACTTCTTTATCTCAAAATCGACACATGGATTTTATTGTTTTGTAGTTGTAGTGCAATTTTCCTTATATTCATTTAGGAAAAATTCAATTACAGTGAATAATCAGTAGAAACTGAAGACAATACCGGGTAGTGCTAAAAGTACTTGAGTCACAAAATACCTATTTTGAGGTAATCCAGTTCAAATATTCTTTTTCTCTATAAAATTTGAATCATTCTTTTTTTTTGTGGCTAGTTTAAATAAGGGACTTATTCACATTTTAATGTGTTCCAATTTATACAATACACTTGGCTAAACTGGATAAGAAAAGGTTCAGATTAGAATGATTTCAACAAAAATGTGTGTTAAGTACTTTTAACACAAGAAGTACTGCCCTTCACAGTGAAATAGTGAAATGAAACTAACAAAATGTTTTGTACTCAGTTGTATCCTCCATTCTGTTATTATTTCAATGGTCTTTGTAGGCTGCTGACAGATAATAATCGATATTGCTCTTCAAGGCCCTGAATGACAGTCGCAACTAGCCCTATCTACTGTCATGCAACAAAATGTGACCTTTTTGGTGTCCTAGGACCCCCCCCCCCCTTGCCCCGTCAAAGTAAGATGCTGACTGATACAGCTTTAGAAGTTAAAATTCCAAAAAATGATCTAAATAAAGGGCAATGAGGCAGACCTAAGATAAATTTTTTTAAATGGATACATCTTGTGTGACAATTTTTTTAGAGCAAAAAACTAAAAAACAAAATGTGACCTTTTTGGTGTCCTAGGACCCCCCCCCCCTTGCCCCGTCAAAGTAAGATGCTGACTGATACAGCTTTAGAAGTTAAAATTCCAAAAAATGATCTAAATAAAGGGCAATGAGGCAGACCTAAGATAAATTTTCTTAAGTGGATACATCTTGTGTGACAATTTTTTTAGAGCAAAAAGCTAAATTTCAATGTTTTGAAAAACTCACTTTTATCCCCTCACAGCTATTATTGATATCTTTAGGCTTCTAGTTTTACATCAATTACATCCTTTTATTTGTACCAGTACATGAACAATAGAATTTATCTCAACATTTCTTCCAGTCTCTATCAACTTAAATATTTTAATCCATTATTTAACCATAAGTATTCATGAACTAAATAATGTTTAATCAAGTAGTAAAAGATTTATGAAAGAAATACTGTCTGCTTTGCTGTTGTGAAAGCATTGCATTAAGTTTCTTACCAATGATCACTAATAACTTGAGAATAGTTGATGTTATGAGAACCACATAATAAAGATGGTACAATCATTTCTAAAGATATTTTATAAGAAATTTATTCTTGCTGAATACAGTGATGACAAAATATATTTTTAAAATATTTAAACATCAACAATTTATACAAGTATCAAGTAACATTTTATTTTTTATACATAAATTGTGTGAATAATTTTGACCAAACAGCCCATAGCACTCCTCACATTTCTATTACCGGGTATTGATATTTAAATGTAATTAAATCGATAGGAATGGGTTTATATAAGCAAATAAAAAGATTCATATTCTCTTAGAGCTTGCTGGCAATTCTTTTAATTTTCCACAACATACACCTTTCTTTGGTTCTTGAGATCATTGTTTATCAACAACAAAAAAATATATAAGTTTTTGTTAATCCTCTACTTGTAATTTTAACTGACATTTGCACTCTTTCTCTGCCCACTTTCTCTACATGTATGGTAAATAAATGCATCATTACTCTTTAGTTTTCTTTAAGTGCTGTTATTTTCCCATTTCAGTGACTGGGGTTATTTTACTTAGGGTTTACCTCCTCCTCCCAAGAATAACTACCTAGTTGGCCTTACAAGTCATTGCTGCCATCTGTACACCCATAGCTGTGGATAACCTTGAAATAATGTGAACTGGCAACCTCTAGGTTGTGTGGCAGACTCACTACAGGCCACTATGGTCATATTCAAGAATGAACACTTTCTATGATGTTTAACATCATTCTTTACTTTAAATTTAAATCATCATTTTCTTAAAGAGTAGTTTACTATTTTAGTATTTTTAGAGTGTAGTAAACAAATTTATGAGGCTGAAAAAAAAGTAAAAAGTTAATTAAAAAATTTGTGTGTGGAAATTCCAGATCAAATTGTGATAATTTTAGTCTTAAAAGAAAATAACTTTATTTATTAATTCACCAGTAATAAGCTAATTCAAGAACACTTCACAATATTTAGTTGAATACATATAAAATGTAAATATAATTATGACAACTATTCCAAACATGTTTTCACTTTTAATTTCACGAATAAACAAACAAATTTTGCACAATAATTAAAAGAATAAAATCCAAATTACTTTAAATGATATTTTAAAAATTAATATTAGTCATTTTTATCAGAACATACTTACTTTTTCTTTGCTATGACTATAATACTTTCTCTTTTTGTTCTATTTTGTCTTGGTTTTGTTGGTCAGTTTCCTGATCTTTTGAAGCAGAATGCAGGATTGTCAGTCCAAATATAATTAGTGAGGAACCCAAGTACCACAACAAGCTCAAATGCTCTCCAAACAAAAGTTTGCCGATTATGGCCTGATTAAAGTTAAAGAAAGAATGAAATAAATACTTTTAGTTAGAGTTAGGGGTGTGCCGGACCCCGGTCCGGAATCCGGTTCCGCCGGATTTTGCACTATCCGGTGAAATCCGGTTCCGCCGGATTTACATGTATCCGGAACAACCGGATTCCGGAATCCGGAATATACCGGATTTCGGAATTTGCCAGATTTTGTGACTCACCGGATCATAATCTGAAATAAAAGTAATTCTCTTTCCCGAATTCCACACGATCACGATACATTAATCGATTGTTTCGAGCGTTGAGCTTGTTTAATGTTTAATATTCCGTACATACCAGAGGCTAGAGTCAGCACCGCTAATATTGGCCAATAGTGTAGGGACTTTGATAAGAAAATTTAAACTTTTTGTAAAAATAAACCAATGGCATATTTGAAAAGATGTAATTTTTTAAAGAATTATAACACCAAAATCATATTTTTAGCTGTTGTAGTTTTAAAGTTATGAATTTTTAAAGTACGACTTGGTTTGTCATTTTTTAACATGGACTGCATCTCCACATTCTGTGATCTCATTCCGCCAATCCCGTCATGCGCAATGACTATATAGTTTATATAAGGCAACGCATTCCCTGCCTTATCACTAAAATACTGTTTAGACTTAGTTTAAACTTTCAACTTTGGCACATGAATAATTAATTAAAGCTTTCCCTGACCAATGGTTTAATAGTTTTTGCACACGGCAAACTCTTATGAATGAAACTCTGAGGTAGTACTACGATACAGTTATGCAAGTGGCTGTGAATGGTTGCCAATGACAACGTGTTGCACACGGTAAATTCTGATCATTTATAATATGGATTCTACCGGGTTGTTAAAGCTCAAATTAAAACATTCCAGTTTAAATGTCTTTAAATGCATTCTGAAACACAAGTTATCAATTATTTTGATGTAAATAGTGATAATAAATTAATATTTCCTAAGTATCGTCAACTTCCGCCATTAAAAAGGGGGGCGTGGCCAACCCCATGGCGAAATTAGGTTGAGCGAGCTGCATAACCTGCTGCGAACGCGTAGAAACATGGCGTCTCTCGTAAGACACTTATCCAAATGGAACGGAACTCAAATATATATCGAAAGTACTAATTTAATAATAAATAGACACACACATCGGAAAATTAAAAACTCGGATTTTTTGGCGCCGATTGCGAATTCCCATACACAAAAAGTAGTAGTCCACCTTGACTTACCGAAGTATCTACCAATAGTACCAAAATCCGGAATCCGGGAGAAACCGGAATCCGGATCCGGCGGATTTCGCATAAGAAAATCCGGATCCGGTTGGAAAAAACGGATCCGGCACACCCCTAGTTAGAGTACAACACTTCATTTCTAAATTTATATTTAAACGAAAATTTCTACACATGACTAAAGATAATTTATTATAAATAATATACTAGTAGTATTTTGTCGTGATACTTCTTTACTCAATATCTTCAGCAAAGGTAGGTAAATCTATTACACCATTCTCTCATCTGGTTAACTAGTCCTTGCTTTGGCCCAAATTTTTACAAGACAAGCTTTTTAATTGAATGTGCCAAAATCAAAATCTTTCAAATATTCTCATGAGCCCACCAAAATTTTGTTGTGAAACATAATAGCATTATCAATAGCCTATTATTTTGTGTCTTTTGCTTATTTGGAGAATTTTAAAATTAATTTAAAAAATATCAAGCTTGTTTAATAAAATAAAAATTAACATTTAACAGCGTTTACCAGGTACTCGCTCAAGAAAGATTGAATGAATAAAAAATTTAACTATGAAAATTTTACCTAAAAAGTATTTCTTGCTACTCTGCAGATTAAAACGGCATGGGTTTTGTTGGGGTTTTTTGTGTGATTTAAATACTAGTACTTTTAAAAAATACTTTTAAGTTACGTTGTCAGTTTCAAGTGTTAACAAAATTCTTTGGTGTGGAATGTGGGCCAAGGATCCCACACCCTTTTCCTAGTTGATATTTACCGTGGTAATAAAATTAGATGAGGTGTTGAATGCAGTTGCCTCTAATGCAGAAGAACATAAATGCATGGACTTTGTAAAGAGCACCCACATGAGTGCATTAAATAGAAATATTCCTGAGATTCCAGCAACTCTGAGTATAATGGCTACCTGTAAAAAAAACATATTGATACATTATAATAAAGGAAGCCCAACTAATAGTAATACATCAATAAAATACCATAAGATATTTTTAATGGGTCAGGAAAAATTATTTTTAAAACTAAAAAAAATGTAAAGTATTTATTGAAAATCATATCAGTACCAGATTGAGACCTGTAGATGGCCCTAGGCATTCGAAATTTCGCCTCCCCCAGTAGAATACCTAGGGCAGTTCTTTGAGGTTTATATATTGGCCTAACATTAAATAATCTATGTATCTGTGAGATGATTCACTTTTGACCCCATACGCAACTGCTCCATCTTCTATGAATTATCTATTTCCTTCAGTTCAGGTCAAACTTTTGTTAAATATTATTACTGAGACTGAGAAAGGAAAAATGTCTTATAATTTCTATTTGTTTTTTTTTTTACTTTTTTTAGGGGAAAAAACCCTTTGATAATTACCCAATTAGGAAAAGGTTGTATCCCTATATTATGAATAGAGATGCCCATATGGCACCTCAGTGTAGGCATGTACTCTATAGCACGCCTGCACAACTCAAAATGTAAGGCGAGCCGTAATGAAAAACTTCAACAGGCCAAAAGAAAATAGGACGGAGGGAAAGCTATTGATAAATAACTTTTAAGAAAGTAATAATTAAAAAATGATATTTCATTATGTTGCGGGCCGCAAAGTGGATGCTGGCAGGCCGCATGTGGCCCTATGTTGTGCACGCCTGCTCTATAGTAGTAAAATATCATTATGTAATTAAAAATACTAATGAAATCAAGTTATCCCCCCTCCCACCTACTTAAATGGATCTCTTGTCCCGTTGCTCCTAAATGGCACAAAGCCCCTTGGCACATCACACATGCCTCATTTGCCTTAAGTTTGTCTGGCACTGATTCATAACATTGATTGATAAATTAGTAGCAGAGGATGGAGAGAAACACAAAAAGTAACGTAAATCAAGTGTTCCGCAACTGCTTAATATTAGACCTCTTCTTTACCTCATACTCATAATGAAGAAATTCAAGTGGTATAATTTGTTCTGCCCATGATATGGCCATTTTTGATAGAGAAATTGCTGTTTCTGAACTTGCTGCTAATTTGGCTGACACTGATGCCATTGCAGCGCAGCTGCCAGCTTCTATGGCAAATATTATACCTTTTAATCCCATAGCGTTGTTAAGGATCCTGGTTTATATGACCTTATAACTTATTGGGGTGAAATCATTTTGTCTATGGTACTTTCTGTATCATTGATTGAACTTGTACAGTATCAATTAAATTTAATTAATCACTACTACTGACAATAATTGTAATCATATTTGGATTGGCAAAAAAGTATCTAAAAGGAAATACCGAAATACAGCACTTTTAATGTGTTATTAGCATTCGCACATCAAAAATTAAATTAGTAAAATGCTTTTTATACTACTGGCAAGAAATAATATGGGCATTAGAAGAATAATAAGTACAAATATTAAATTATATCCATTTTTTCAACTTTAAATATTAATTCCCATAAGATTGAGTTAGCTCTTCTGTGGGAAAAGACGTTATGGTAAAATGTTGTGTACTTTAGAGTTTTCCAATTCTAACGTAGACACCGGTGTTCTGATCCAAAATGGCCGACACGAATATAAGCGTACTTGCTCATTGTAAGTTAATTTTACACGCTGCCAAATACCCACATTCATCAGTAAATGGTGTTTTGTTGGCCGAAGACAATAAGGGTAAAGAATCGTCTAAACCCCTTAAGTATGTAGATTGCATTCCTCTGTTTCATGTATCACTAGGATTATCACCAATGCTGGAAATGGCTCTCCTCCAGGTGACTTACTTATAATTTTTTTATAAAATAAATAAATAATAGGTCTAATGTTAGATACTTATTATTAGTTTGGCCGCCTTGGCTTAGGCACATGTCTTGAAGGCACTGCACTGTTAATATTATTTAATTTTTTTTTTTTTTAAATTCAGACTAATCACTTGTCTACTGGAATTGAAGTGTTTGAAGTGGCGTAATACAGTTGAGTGTATTGAATGCATGGACAACTAAAAAATATGTTGTTTTGGTAAATTTGGAGAGATAGCACCATAACTGCCATCTTGGTTGCAGCGAACTTATGTCCTAACTGTATCCCTAAACCTAACCTGAACCCTAAACTTATCCCTAGCTCTAACCAGGGTTTTGACCATGACCATATATCGGAACCAGGGACAAAACACGCAAATGACGTCAGGGTGCCATCTCTCCAAATTAGTACTATCCATTTTTTTTTTGGTGTGGTCATGATGATCGTCATGGATGGTAAAAAGTGAAAATTGGGGATATATTAATTTATTGAAATAGCTGAGTGCTCCTCAGCAAATTTGGTTTCTTAACTTGTCTTAAAATTTTAAAATAATAATACTGTTATTCTTATAATGATATTGATATGAACCAATGAACTTAATAAATGCTTAGGCCTAGGCCATTCATGCTGTATAATAGTATGACTATGACAGTGTGAGATTAGGCCTAGTTCTAGTAGGTATTGTCCTTGTTTTTACAGTAAGTAAAATGGCCAAGCCAAATACTGCCAATACATTATTTTTAATTTTACATCGACAGATAATCACTTAGTAAAGTAAACCTACTTACTCTACTGAATCGTTTTATCATTTATCTTAAATTTGCTCTAACCTTGAATTGACAATTATGCCTGATGCCATTGCAGGGGGTCAAACTTTGTTAGCCATTACCCAAAAATATACTTGTTTAAGCCGACATTTAAAATTTAGCTCCTTTTAGAAAGGAAGAAAATCAGTAATCGGCCAGGTAATTTTCATTCAAAATGGTTATACTGAGAATAACCATATATATTATATATAAAAATTATAGAATAAATGTGAAAAATAAAAAAATAAAATCAATTTTTTTGGAACAAAAAGATTTCTTGGAAAAACTTTTCACTTTAAATTTTGGATAATTAATGTTTCATTTTTAAACAATAACATCAAAATTGGGTGAGCAATTTGGTAACTCTTTTCAATAAATTATTGATTTTTCTGATTTTTCTTTATACTCCTTATTAGTATGTAAAATCCTTGTTCCTAAAGATAGAGGATTTATTGATGACCTCTTGGTGTGCAATTTTGAAATCCAATGGAGCTCTTGACATTTTGAGTATAGGCACTAGCATGAAAAAAGGTGTGCCAGGGTTGCTGACCACAATAGGAGACACCCTCCCATCAAATGGAAAATGGTCAATTTGACAGAGCTCCATCAAGTTGGCTTCATAAAAGATCTATGTTAAATAGAAGAGCGAGCAGGGTGCCTTAAGAAAAAGATGATAGCACAGAAAGCCTCCAGAGCAGAGTGTCCCCAGAAGAGGCAGACTAGGAGGTCTGTGTGGATGCCCGGATGGGGTAACACCAACCATAGTGATGCCACTAGGCATAAGATAAAAAAAAAGGAGACAAGGCCAAAATGATATATATTACAAGACATATGGATGTATCCTGGATACACAAGCTGCAGAGCCACCATAAAATAACAATGTTTTGGGTTCTCTATTACACTGGCCAGATGTAGTGTTGTCAGACTCAAAAAAAACTCTTTTGATTTTTATTTAAGACTCTTTGGGCACTATTTTCCCCAAGATTTTAATTTTTACCCCATTTGGGGTAATTTACCTGTTTTGCCAACTCCTTCACTGTTGTTTTGCAACACACTGGTTGAAAACCACTGGTCTAATTTTATACAGCCTATACTGTATTTATATTTATAGACCTATCTCAAGCTATCTAACCCTGCAAGTGAATTATAATAAGATACTGAGTAGGCATTTTTTAATTTCCAATTTCCATTTAGCCTATTTTGGAATGCACACATTTTATTATTTGTTTTTTGCATAAATAAAAACAAAAATCTTTTAACTTTCTAGATTGATGCTTATTGTAAAAGCCAAGGTCTGGTCATAGCAGGTTACTACCATGCAAATGAGAACTATGGTGACAATGAGTAAGAATCCTCTTTTATTTAAAAAAACTGTATTAACTTAAAGTATTATAAATGCCTATCCGGATTAACTAGGTCATTAATCACATTGACATTGGCTGAGAAGTGAGGAACTTACTGAACATTTCAATTTCAAGTCTATTCAATTAAAAATGCCCAATAAAACTGGGAATTTCCCACTATAAAGAGCTTTGTAGAAGTCTGAATAATGGTTGATATATCAGTAGCACTATCTGACTAACTGTTCAAGGAATAACACTTAGGTAATTTTATAATCACACATGAAAGTGAAAAAAACTAAGACATATAATACATGTGACGTATAGTCAATAGGAACCGCAGATATTTCATATAGATATCAAAAGATATTTTCTGACCTAGTAATTTCATTTGGCTTCACTTTATACATATTATTGCACACATGAAGCATATTTGAAATAGTTAACATACAATAATTTTTTTTTCAATGATTTTTCAGCTTAATGAAAGCATTTGTGACACATTATTCTTTCAGAATGAATCACATAGCCAAAACAATAGGACGGAAGATCCAGGAAAATTTCCACGATGCCTGTGTACTTTTAGTAAGTCTTGACAACCTAGATGGATACAATGGTCGCAGAATGAAAAACAAATAATTCATTCTATATTATTGTTACTTAAGACATGCCAGTTAGAAAAGGAAAAAAAGTAAATCCAAATTTTACATTCAATGTCTCTAATTGTTAGACCAGTTAAATTTAAAACAGTAACTATAGGGCACTTCGTACTGGAATTAATTCCTTACTTTTTTTTAATTAGTCCGTATATGTAGGTACTCCAACTCAAAATTTCAGATACATCTGACATACACAAGAAGCATATCATTGGAAAGAGCTGACTTAAAGCTTTCCATTGACACCAAGATAATCTTTCTATCACTTATAGAAGAAAAGTTAATAGGTACTCCAACTCAAAATTTCAGATACATCTGACATACACAAGAAGCATATCATTGGAAAGAGCTGACTTAAAGCTTTCCATTGACACCAAGATAATCTTTCTATCACTTATAGAAGAAAAGTTATGAATTTTTTAGTGATTTATTTTTTACCACTATTTGGCTTTGTATTTAATTTTTAAAACTGTGATCGAATTATTACTCTTTTTGTACTATTTTGGTTGTATCTTGTTGGCTTTTAAAGTTAGACTGCTCAAATTTGGAGGAGACATTTACAATACAATGTTTAACAAAATTAAACACATGAATTTTGAATTAACTTATTATATTTTATGAAAAAAAATTTTATAAGCATATAGCAATGGATAACGACAATTGTCGAAAAATTAATTTTTTTTTAAAAATGACATAATTATTAAACCAATAAAGCTATCGCTATGAAATTTTCAATACAAACAGATAATGTCCATCTAAAAGTAAGGCATATTTAAAATAAATTAAATGCAGATCAGAAAAATTTATGCAATATTGGAAATAATATTTTATGAAAAGCAACTACGGCCGAGAAATTTTTTACATTTAAATATACAACTTTTAAACTAATAAAGCTAATGCAATCAAATTTTCAGTAAAAATAGATAGTGTCCAACCAAATATAATAGAGTATTAAAATATATCAAAAGCAATTAAAATCATGCTATACAAAATTTTAAAATGTCATGTAATCTGTCGACATTGTTTCGGCTCCGGAGGTCTAGCAACACTTCATCCTCATCGATTGGTACATTAAAAAAATATGCCTCCATTGTCAATATCAAATTGGGTTGTTTGTTGATCTCCTCCAAGTAAATACATAGCAAAATTACAGGGAATGATTACAATCTGTAACTACTAATTAGGACTACTAATTTATGAACACCGGTACATGTAAATAATGATTCAATATTTTTAAATAGGCTACACATTTTTCTTTATTATATGTACACTTATAGCTGATAATAACTAGGACTAGGGGCTATCTTACTATCTAATTCATTGCTATTTGTATGTCAAAGCACTTTTATCACTTTGACTTTGTTGTTTTAATCTCAGTATTAGTTTTATTGATCCAAAGCCTGCTCTTATATAATAACTATATAAGCCTAAAGTGTAATTATTATTAAAAACCAGTTATTAAAAAGTGTATATTTAAAATCAAACTGCTAAGTTATAATACTGGAAATATTTATTTAGTTGTTTGGAAAAAGTTTTAAATAATAATAACCACTGTTTACATTAGAGATTTACCACTTCCGGTAGATCGAGGGGGAAAAAATGGCCACGACTTGGCAACCTTGAATTTTTAGTCACACGGTTCAAGCTCTCATAAATTTTGGGGACGATCTATACTCTTTAAAATAAGTGTTTCTGCTTTTAAAATATATAATCTATGCGAACAAGTAATTTCCAAGTCCAAACGCAATTTTAAAAAAAAAATATTGCACAGCAAACTCACTTACCCCAAGTCAACTTTCCAATTAATCGTCTCAGCAAGGTCAGATTTCCACTTAATTCATACCCTTGTAACCGGCATGCATCGCAGATTTGAATAAAACTAAGGAGAGTCCTCTATTTTTAGAAATGACGCAAAACAACGGTAATCACCGAGATCTACCGAAAACGAAAAGCGCCAGCTGATCACAGCGATCGCCGCTCGGCAGGCCTCGTTTTTCTATTGCGGGCGGCGAAAGTATTGGAGTGCCTAAGAAATGACGCAAAACAACGGTAATCACCGAGATCTACCGAAAACGAAAAGCGCCAGCTGATCACAGCGATCGCCGCTCGGCAGGCCTCGTTTTTCTATTGCGGGCGGCGAAAGTATTGGAGTGCCTAGTATATGTGTCTGACTTTTATTTTGCAGATTGACAATAGTAAAGTTAGACCTGATGCTGTGTCTCAGCCCTATAAAATATTTACACCAAAAGAGACCGGCTGGAAAGAGGTGGATAAAAAGTAAGAATTTGTTAACCCATAAGACAGGAGAAGATTACTGCTTATACACATCACTAGTTATGGCCCATTAAAATGATGGGGAAAAAAAGAGTATTTGCCTAAAAATTATATATTCCTTGTATTTCCATCACTGAATTATAAAAAGCTGATAAGTCTTCATTACTTTTCCAGGAGCAGCTCAACAGAAGAGGAAATTCAAAAAGAGCAGTGTGTTTATGCCCTTCTCAAGGCTGGTGCCCAGCGACAAGTCAGAGATTACGATAATCATCTTGATGATGTGAGGAGCGACTGGAGAAATCTTGAACTTAATGATATGATTGGGCGATGCACATAAAGTCAGATAAAACAGGACATACACACGACGGTCAGTGGGCTGTGTACATAATATGATTTTGTATTTCGTGCCATGTTGGCACCATGTACATTGTTTCCAGGCTAGTTGCTAGTCACAGTGTACATTGCGCCTGGTATGTGTACTGCATTTCACAAGTGCTTGTCAAGCTAAATCATTTTTTATAAATGGATTACATAATATTGTAGTGGCATATTTGCAATCTACTGCCGTTCTTGATTTATGATTCAGTTTGACAGTGCCTGATTCTTTTGAAATTTAACTCAAAAGTATTTATGTCCATTTTTAGAACTAACATAGATCTGTTGTGGTTACAAGCAGTAGAGTTATACTCAAGAGAGAGAGAAAATAAGTTTATCAAATTGTGTATATTTGATCTATGTTTCCTTTTTTTTTTAAACTTTGTGAAAGGACTGCTTACTGTAAGCAACACATTCCAAGATAAGAAACCATTGTCCACCATGGGTGGTGGGAAAAATCAAGCCGCTGACCACAGCACACATCTGCCTTATTTCTAGAAGAAGGGCGGATGGCAACTCCCCAGTGTTTTTGGCATGTGAAATTCAAAGATGGATCATTATTTTATTTTATTTTTTTTTAATGATAAAATTGTTGCATTCCCACATGTTTTCATAACATGAGTAAAATATTAAAACTCTGAATCATAAATAGGGAATTGAATGACAGATTATTATTTTTCTTCTTCACTTTGGAAATATTCAGTTCCTCTGTCACTTTCATGTACTTGCTATCTTCAAACATTATATGAAAGGGTCTCTTATAAATTGTCCACTCAATAAGTTGAGAAATGATTTCAGCATTCAATGATGTTGTTGTTGTTTTGTTTTTTTTTGGAGTTTCAGGTGTGGGATAAGATGTCTCTTTCAGTGTTGTTATTATTTTTTTCTTTATAAATTATTGTTTAAGGTAGCCTTTAATATTTTATCAGCATTTTTTTTTTAAAAATACATTTCTCACCTTAACAAAAAGTGCAATATATTACCCACTGAAAGTCTAGAAAAAAAATGGGGGGGCGCTATGGTGTAAAAGTCTTTATGTCATGAACTAATGAAAAAATGGTCTGGATTGTCTTGTAACTTGTATGTTCACAGTAATCTTTCTCTGGTGTGATAGGCTGGTTTTGGTTTGTTAATATCTCCCAAGGCAAGCACTTAAATGGATCTAATTTCATTCACTGTCGGTGTGCTAGTGAGACATGTTTATAGATCTGTATTTGGCTTCACCTGAGCAATAAACAGTCAGGGGGGGGGGGGGGGGG